ACCAGAGGAACCCAGAACCAGAGGAACCGGGAACCAGAGGAACCAAGAACGAGAGGAACCGAGAACCAGAGGAACCGAGAACCAGAGGAACCCGGAACCAGAGGAACCGGGAACCAGAGGAACCAAGAACCAGAGGAACCGAGAACCAGAGGAACCGGGAACCAGAGGAACCGAGAACCAGAGGAACCGAGAACCGGGAACCAGAGGAACCGAGAACCAGAGGAACCGAGAACCAGAGGAACCGAGAACCAGAGGAACCCGGAACCAGAGGAACCCGGAACCAGAGGAACCGGGAACCAGAGGAACCGAGAACCAGAGGAACCGGAAACCAGAGGAATCGAGAACCAGAGGAACCCAGAACCAGAGGAACCGGGAACCTGGAACCGGGAACCAGAGGAACCGGGAACCAGAGGAACCGGGAACCAGAGGAACTGGTTCTCTTTGGTTATTTTTGAAAGTGATTCAAACTGAACGTCCTGATCTTCTTCTCGTCTCTCAGACTCTAAATGGTTCAAATCAGATTTTCTTTGCGAATCTGAAGAGAGAAACAGACGAGAGTCGATGAAACGGCATAAATATTCATTAATGTAACTTTAATCGTGTCGATGTTCTGAACTCAGAACCAATTAAATGGAGTTCAGCTTCATTTGGATCTGAACACCAGAAACAGAAACAGAATGGGTCCAACAGAACCTCCAGAACCTTCCCAGACCAGTCTGATACCCAGACAAGGAAATTTGCTCAGGATTTTTTCACCAAAACGTTTGACGCTCGCAGCTTCAATTCAATAATTATTTCCAGATAAATTCTGAGCTGTTAATTTATTGGTTGTTTCGTAAAGTTTTCGTTGAATAAAGTTTTGTTTCACTGTTAAAAACTCTTTAACTGTTTCGATGTTTAGATTCATGTTGGTGAAAATTGTTTTCTGCTTCCTGTCGTCTTGTTGAAACTTTATTGGAGTTTCAACGACGACAGAAACAAACAAACGAGGCGTTAATTAAACAAAAACAAGAAAAAATGATTTATATGGAGTTGTGATGGTGGCGGTTAAAGTTATAGCATTAGCATTGACTAAACATACTGTCACTATAGCGCTTTAGCATTAGCAGAAGGTTAGCATACCTAGCTAATTAGTTAGCATGGTCACCAGTGGCAGCCATGTTGTTGGTCAGAGGTCTGTCTCTTCCATCCTGCTGGGTTTTAACTTTTAGAAACTTCTGGAGTTCTGTTAAGAGTTTCTGTTGGGCCACGCCTGCTTCATGATGGCGGTTGGGTCCTGGTTTCCTGACTGCAGTGTGTGTGTGGGGTGTGTGTGTGTGTGTGTGTGTGTGTGTGTGGTGTGTGTGTGTGTGTGCAGGCCTGGCCCTCCAGATCCAGTGCTACCAGTGTGAGATGACAGACGACTGCGCTGCGCCCCAGTTCATCGTCAACTGCACCGTCAACGTCCAGGACATGTGCCAGAAGGAGGTTCTGGTGAACGACGACGGTGAGCGACGGCTAGCGTAGCTTAGAGCTAGCTGCTGAGTTTGGTACTGATACTACATTTTTAGTTTGTAAAAATGTAGTAAATAGCTTGTTTGTAAATAAATTGTTGGTAACTATTTTGATAAATGGAGGTAAATACTAAATATTTAGTTAGTATGCTAAATATTTATCATGCTAACTAAATATTTAGTTTGAAAATATTTGGTTTGGAACTAAATATTTATCTCACTTATATATTCATTTTGGACTTGTGACATTTATAAATGTATGAATAACATGGTAAAATATCTGAAAATGATTTTCTCCTCTTAGGTTAAATAAACCAAATTATTGCTGTTAGTTGTTTATTGGCGCCCCCTAGTGGCCCGGCCTGTAATGGTCTCTGTCCTCCAGGGATCCTGTACAGGAAGTCGTGCGCCTCCTCCGCTGCCTGCCTCATCTCCTCCTCCGGCTACCAGCAGTTTTGCACCGGAAGCTTCACTCTGTCTGCATCAGCTGCTGCAGCACGCCGCTCTGCAACGGGCCCCGCCAGAAGAGGCGGCCCCCGCCGTCGTCTGGCGTGACCGCCGCCGGGCCCCCGCTCCTCATATTGGTCCTCCTCCTGCTGGACTCCGTCCTCTGCTGACAGAGACTCAGCAGAGGATCCACCTGATTTCACTGATTGTCTGAAAACCAGAGCAGGAAACAGGAAACAGGAAGTTACTTTGACATCAGAGCAGATCCGCCATTTCTACTGTCAGGACAGAGCTAGCATGCTAATATCTCAGTTAGCTGAGATATTAGCATGCTAGCAGCTCGCTAGTAAACAGGCTAGAAATAAATCGATCAGTTTTCACATCACAGTGAAACAACAGATTTTACACCAATTAAAGGAGCATTTCATATTTGATGAAATGTTTGTTCCTCTGAACCGACATGATGCCGAGCAGAACCTTCTGGGTCCAGTCGGTTCCACCAGGTTTTCATCACTTCTCTTTTCACTGCGTTTTATTTGAGGTTGTTTGTTTTGCACACGAATTGTTTTCTGCTGATGTGACCAGAGGAGGCAGAAAAAACAAATTAATACTGAGAATATCAACAATTCAACTGAGTTTTCTCAAAGTTCAAAGTGCAGCGAAGTAAAAACTAATATTTTCCCCAAATGTTAATTGTAACTGAGTGAATGTTATTTGCAGCTCTGAACATGTTTGTGGACTTCAGGAAGAGTTTATGACCTTCAATAGTTTTGAATTTTTCTTTTAATCTGTAACTAATATTAACTGATATAACAGATTGTGTTCTTAGTTGTGGATTAATTTTAATGCATTTGGATGTTTCACGATATGAATATGTTTTAAGCAGCTCGTTGTTCACCTGGTGAATCAATCAATCAATCAATCAATCAATCAATCAATCAGTCAATCAGTCAGTCTTCCAGCCTGTAACTTGTTTTATCAGAATAGTGGAATAAGACAAGTTTTAGTCTTTTGCATTTTGACCTTTTGACCTTTCCAGAGCCAGAATTCACGGTGCATTAAGTGATTTGATCACCTTAAATTCTTGAATTTGAGTTTCTGGACACAAAGTGAGGACAGAGTTGAACAGTCGTTGTTGACCCGGTCCGGGGCTCAGCGCCCCTCTGAAGTGTCCATCAGTCAAAGTCACGTCAGGGGTCAGGGACGGTACAGAACGGCCTGGGTCGTAACTCCACGTCCAACATGGCGGATTGGTCTGCTGCTAAAAAGCACAACAATCATTTCACATGGACATTTTTCTGCTTCTTCAAATCGTCATTGGATAAATTAGTTTGAACTTGTTGAATTCAGTATCAGTGAAACAAAGGTTACTTTTCAAAACTGATTATATTCTGTATTTTTGCAGCAGATCGCTCAGTGAACTTATTTCATATTTCCAAGATGGCAAAACATTTACTAATATTCAAAATAACCGTCTGATGTTTGACGAAGACATGAGTTTTGAAACCATCTGTTTTATGCAGGTTAAAGTTCGTTAGTTATAAAGTGGAGACAATAACAGATCAAGTTAAGGACAAACATTCAGCATATATATAAAAATAATCCAAATAAAAAAGAAACGATGAATGTTGTGACGCCGGGCCAACATGGCCGCCGTTGGGAGCGTGGCGGATACTGACGACTCTCTGTGGCTCATTGAGCCCGGATCAGCTGCAGCACAGATGGCTGCAGCGTTCTGCATCACATGGTGCTGATGATCCATTTTATCCATCTGAGTTTGGCGCCGTCGTCATGACGACGGGAGCCAAGGCCGCTCCGCAGAGCATCGACCAATGAGACGCAGTCGAAGCTGATCACTGCAGCGATTGATCATCTGTCAGAAACTTGAAGCTTTGAACGTCTGCAGGAGGAAACATGAAAATAAAACTTAATAATGTTCAAACGTCTCATTTTATCTCTGATGTTTTACTGGACAAACCAACAGGAAGTTCAGCTACAATGACCAGCAATAGTTTTTATGATTTAGTTTCTTCTGGAGAAATGAATGGAGGTTAGTTTTTTAAAGTCAGATTTTAACCATGTTATTGATAAAAATCACAGTTTCAAACTAAATATTTAGCTAATATGTTACTTCAGTGGAAGTGGAATGTCAAAATAAAAGCTGGGTTTTTATGACTTCCTGCTGCTGTAGATCCATCAATAAATATTTAACCCTTTAAACTGATTTTACTTTGTTTTATAATTTAAATAAATGTAAATTTTGGTCAAAAAAGAAAACGAAACGACAAAACCAGCTTTTATTTTGATAGTTCACTTCCAATTGTTGCCAAGTGAATTAGCATGTTAGCTTAGCATCAGTCTGTGAGCTAGCTGTGTTTATGAATGAATGAATTCATCCTGTTAAATTAACCCAAATTATTCAGTTTCAGATGAACTTTAAAAATGTCTCCCAATAATCTTTATTATTAACTTTAGTTTGATTTAAAATATTTATTAAAAATGAAAGTCATCTGTAAGCAGGAGGATTTGTCTCTTTAAGATGAAATATGTCTGCAGCGTCGCTGAGATCTGGACAGGAAACAGCAGGGGGAAGTAAATCGATGTGACGCCCCGCTGAGTGAATAATCCAGCAGCCATTGGATCGATGAAGATGAAGCTCATCCTCTTCATCACAGGGAGATGAAGAGCCGAATCGGTTCTGTTTGTTTCAGCTGGAAGGAAAATGAAAACTGGATGAAAAGCAAACGACGTTCAGGATGTTTCAGCTGATCAACACAGGAAGTCTGATTTAGTGACTTCCTGTCTGTGTGAGACCGTTCAGCAGGATTCTCCATCTTAACCGGCAGAAATCTGTAAAACCCAGATGAAAATGATTCATGCTGGAAATAATCCCGTCGGTTCTTTGGAGATTTTCTGGATGACAGATCTGAGTGTCGATGGAGGAAACGCCAAACCTTCTTCTTCTGTGGTTTTCCTCCTTCCTTAAGTCTCAAACCTTAAAACTAAATGTAAGATTGTTTAACTTCAACAAAATCTGATTTTATTATTAAATGAAAAACATTCAGTTTGGTTTTTTTATTTCATATTTTCTCAGTTTATATCAACTCATCTGAAAATTCTTCCTGTTTTCAGTTCCAGCAAATTCAGTTCATTCATGAAATCCTGGTTACCATGGCAACGGGAGGAAAGCAGACTCGTGCAGAAATCTGGGATGTAACGAGCGAAGCTGATTTTATGTTCAACCGGCTTGCCATACAGACACTGGCAGCGGGGCCCTCAGGGCCGGCCCTCAGAGACAGGCGGCCGGGGGCCACGGCACCCTGCAGACCGCAGTGGAGAGGATTTAACTAGGCCACTCAGGAAGTCAGAATGTCAAGGAGACAAATGAAAATAATTTGTGTTATTAAAGATGATTTCTGCCACAATTCAGATAAATATGAACTATTAGAAAATAATGTAATGAAACTGAAGTTCCTGTAAACTTGAGCTGCAGATTCTAGAAAAACTCAACAAATTCAACGCTTCACTGTTTCTGCTGCAGATTTGGACCCGGCTGGACGCCCCCAGCATCACCCCTCCTCCACCGTGTTGGAGGTTTTCTGCTGAATGTGTCCAAACGTTCAGACGTTTTGTGAAGTATAATTTCTTTTGCTCTGACAGTTTTCAGAAACTCTGAAACATGGAACCATCTGATCGCCGGAGCAGCTTCTGGTTTCAGATTTCTGTCTCGGTTCTGGTTTCCGGTCCGGTCTGCTCGCTCAGGCTGACGGCCACCCGGCAGCCGGACGGCGCCGAGTCGCTCTGGAAGGTGGTGAAGGTGGGCGGCGCCCTCTGCTGGCCGCCGCTCCTCCGGCCGAAACGCAGCGATTTCTGGAGCAGCGGCTGCAGCGAGCGCGCGGAGGCGGCGCGGGGTCCCGGCGCGGCGCAGGGGCCCGGCGCGGCGCGGCGGTTAGCGTGCTGGATGGTCAGGCGGCAGCGCAGAACCTGCAGGAACACCTGGCGGAAGTGACGAGACGACAGGTTGTAGAGGAACGGGTTGAGCACGGAGCTCAGGTAGAAGAAGGCGTCGGCCACCAGGTGGAGCCACGCGTAGGTCCAGAAGTACGACAGAGACCAAGACGACTTGGGGACGGCCGCCGTCATCAGGCGCCGCAGCTGGTTGGGAAACCAGCAGAGCATCAGGGAGCCGACGATCAGACCTGGCAACATGGAGGAAACATGTCAACATGGCAACATGTCAACATGGCAACATGTCAACATGGCAACATGTCAACATGGAGGCAACATGTCAACATGTCAACATGGCAACATGTCAACATGGCAACATGTCAACATGGCATCATGTCAACATGTCAACATGTCAACATGGCATCATGTCAACATGGCAACATGTCAACATGGCATCATGTCAACATGGCATCATGTCAACATGGCAACATGTCAACATGTCAACATGTCAACATGGCAACATGTCAACATGGCAACATGTCAACATGGCATCATGTCAACATGGCAACATGTCAACATGTCAACATGTCAACATGGCATCATGTCAACATGGCAACATGTCAACATGTCAACATGTCAACATGGCAACATGTCAACATGTCAACATGTCAACATGGCAACATGTCAACATGGCAACATGTCAACATGTCAACATGTCAACATGGCAACATGTCAACATGTCAACATGTCAACATGGCAACATGTCAACATGGCAACATGTCAACATGGCATCATGTCAACATGGCAACATGTCAACATGTCAACATGTCAACATGGCATCATGTCAACATGGCAACATGTCAACATGTCAACATGTCAACATGGCATCATGTCAACATGGCAACATGTCAACATGGCAACATGTCAACATGGCAACATGTCAACACGTCAACATGGCAACATGGCAACATGTCAACATGTCAACATGGCAACATGGAGGCAACATGTCAACATGTCAACATGGCAACATGTCAACATGTCAACATGTCAACATGTCAACATGTCAACATGGCATCATGTCAACATGTCAACATGGCAACATGTCAACATGTCAACATGGCAACATGTCAACATGTCAACATGTCAACATGGCAACATGTCAACATGGCAACATGTCAACATGGCATCATGTCAACATGGCAACATGTCAACATGTCAACATGTCAACATGGCAACATGTCAACATGGCAACATGGCAACATGTCAACATGGCATCATGTCAACATGGCAACATGTCAACATGTCAACATGTCAACATGGCAACATGTCAACATGGCAACATGTCAACATGTCAACATGTCAACATGGCAACATGTCAACATGGCATCATGTCAACATGGCAACATGTCAACATGTCAACATGTCAACATGGCAACATGTCAACATGGCAACATGTCAACATGGCATCATGTCAACATGGCAACATGTCAACATGTCAACATGTCAACATGGCATCATGTCAACATGGCAACATGTCAACATGTCAACATGTCAACATGTCAACATGTCAACATGGCAACATGTCAACATGGCATCATGTCAACATGGCAACATGTCAACATGTCAACATGTCAACATGGCAACATGTCAACATGGCAACATGTCAACATGGCATCATGTCAACATGGCAACATGTCAACATGTCAACATGTCAACATGGCATCATGTCAACATGGCAACATGTCAACATGTCAACATGTCAACATGGCATCATGTCAACATGGCAACATGTCAACATGGCAACATGTCAACATGGCAACATGTCAACACGTCAACATGGCAACATGGCAACATGTCAACATGTCAACATGGCAACATGGAGGCAACATGTCAACATGTCAACATGGCAACATGTCAACATGTCAACATGTCAACATGTCAACATGTCAACATGGCATCATGTCAACATGGCAACATGTCAACATGGCAACATGTCAACATGTCAACATGTCAACATGGCAACATGGCAACATGTCAACATGTCAACATGGCAACATGTCAACATGGCAACATGTCAACACGTCAACATGGCAACATGTCAACATGGCAACATGTCAACATGGCACATGTCAACATGGCAACATGTCAACATGGCAACATGTCAACATGGCAACACGTCAACATGGCAACATGGCAACATGTCAACACGTCAACATGGCATCATGTCAACATGGCAACATGGCAACACGTCAACATGTCAACATGGCAACATGTCAACATGGCAACATGTCAACATGGCAACATGTCAACATGGCAACATGGAGGCAACATGTCAACACGTCAACATGGCAACATGGAGGCAACATGTCAACACGTCAACATGGCATCATGTCAACATGGCAACATGGCAACACGTCAACATGGCAACATGGCAACCTGTCAACATGGCAACATGTCAACATGGCAACATGTCAACATGGCAACATGTCAACATGGCAACATGGAGGCAACATGTCAACATGGCAACATGGAGGCAACATGTCAACATGGCAACATGTCAACATGGCAACATGTCAACATGGCAACATGGAGGCAACACGTCAACATGGCAACATGTCAACATGGCAACATGTCAACATGTCAACATGGCAACATGTCAACATGGAGGCAACATGTCAACATGGCAACATGGAGGCAACATGTCAACATGGAGGCAACATGTCAACATGGCAACATGTCAACATGTCAACATGGCAACATGGCAACATGTCAACATGGCAACATGGAGGCAACATGGCAACATGTCAACATGGCAACATGGCAACATGTCAACATGGCAACATGTCAACATGGCAACATGTCAACATGGAGGCAACATGTCAACATGGCAACATGTCAACATGGAGGCAACATGTCAACATGTCAACATGGAGGCAACATGTCAACATGTCAACATGGCAACATGTCAACATGTCAACATGTCAACATGTCAACATGGCAACATGTCAACATGGCATCATGTCAACATGGCAACATGTCAACATGTCAACATGTCAACATGGCATCATGTCAACATGGCAACATGTCAACATGGCAACATGTCAACATGGCAACATGTCAACACGTCAACATGGCAACATGGCAACATGTCAACATGTCAACATGGCAACATGGAGGCAACATGTCAACATGTCAACATGGCAACATGTCAACATGTCAACATGTCAACATGTCAACATGTCAACATGGCATCATGTCAACATGGCAACATGTCAACATGGCAACATGTCAACATGTCAACATGTCAACATGGCAACATGGCAACATGTCAACATGTCAACATGGCAACATGTCAACATGGCAACATGTCAACACGTCAACATGGCAACATGTCAACATGGCAACATGTCAACATGGCAACATGTCAACATGGCAACATGTCAACATGGCAACATGTCAACATGGCAACACGTCAACATGGCAACATGGCAACATGTCAACACGTCAACATGGCATCATGTCAACATGGCAACATGGCAACACGTCAACATGTCAACATGGCAACATGTCAACATGGCAACATGTCAACATGGCAACATGTCAACATGGCAACATGTCAACATGGAGGCAACATGTCAACATGGCAACATGGAGGCAACATGTCAACATGTCAACATGGCAACATGGAGGCAACATGTCAACACGTCAACATGGCATCATGTCAACATGGCAACATGGCAACACGTCAACATGGCAACATGGCAACCTGTCAACATGGCAACATGTCAACATGGCAACATGTCAACATGGCAACATGTCAACATGGCAACATGTCAACATGGCAACATGTCAACATGGAGGCAACATGTCAACATGGCAACATGGAGGCAACATGTCAACATGGCAACATGTCAACATGGCAACATGTCAACATGGCAACATGGAGGCAACATGTCAACATGGCAACATGTCAACATGGCAACATGTCAACATGTCAACATGGCAACATGGCAACATGTCAACATGGCAACATGTCAACATGGCAACATGTCAACATGGCAACATGGAGGCAACATGTCAACATTGAGGCAACATGTCAACATGGCAACATGTCAACATGGCAACATGTCAACATGGCAACATGTCAACATGGCAACATGGAGGCAACATGGCAACATGTCAACATGGCAACATGGCAACATGTCAACATGGCAACATGTCAACATGGCAACATGTCAACATGGAGGCAACATGTCAACATGGCAACATGTCAACATGGAGGCAACATGTCAACATGGCAACATGGAGGCAACATGTCAACATGGCAACATGTCAACATGGAGATAACATGTCAACATGGCAACATGTCAACATGTCAACATGGAGATAACATGTCAACATGGCAACATGTCAACATGTCAACATGGAGATAACATGTCAACATGGCAACATGTCAACATGGAGGCAACATGTCAACATGGCAACATGTCAACATGGAGATAACATGTCAACATGGCAACATGTCAACATGTCAACATGTCAACATGTCAACATGGCATCATGTCAACATGGCAACATGTCAACATGGCAACATGTCAACATGGCAACATGTCAACATGTCAACATGGCAACATGTCAACATGTCAACATGGCAACATGGCAACATGTCAACATGTCAACATGGCAACATGTCAACATGGCAACATGTCAACACGTCAACATGGCAACATGTCAACATGGCAACAGGTCAACATGGCAACATGTCAACATGGCAACATGTCAACATGGCAACACGTCAACATGGCAACATGGCAACATGTCAACATGGCAACATGTCAACATGGCAACAGGTCAACATGGCAACATGTCAACATGGCAACATGGCAACACGTCAACATGGCAACATGGCAACATGTCAACATGGCAACATGTCAACATGGCATCATGTCAACATGGCAACATGTCAACATGGCAACATGTCAACATGGCAACATGGCAACACGTCAACATGGCAACATGTCAACATGGCAACATGTCAACACGTCAACATGGCAACATGTCAACATGGCAACATGTCAACATGGCAACATGGCAACATGGCAACATGTCAACATGGCAACATGTCAACATGGCAACATGTCAACAAAGAGGCAACATGGCAACATGTCAACATGGCAACATGTCAACATGGCAACATGTCAACAAAGAGGCAACATGTCAACATGGCAACATGTCAACATGTCAACATGGA